CTTGATGATATGTGATATAATCATTATAATCAAAACGAAATTTAATATATTTTTACATTGACCTCTCTGATACTGAACATTTTTATAGTAGTTATGATTGGCTAAACAAATAACGAAACAAAAGTTTCATTATTTTCTTTCTTTATCGGTATACATTTTTTAGATTAAGAAATAATTAACAACTTCAATATTATATTCGATCATTAAAATATGTCGACAAACAAAGAACGTATATTTGTTGTTGGAGCAACTGGGGATATTGGAAGTGGTGTTGTTCGTGGTCTTATTAAAAATAGAATTGATACAACCGCTTATGTTCGAGATGAAGCAAAAGCAAAAGATTTATTTAAGAATGAACTTCTTACTGGACATTTATCACTTGTTATTGGTACCTATTCATCTAATGAAATATATGCAAAGGCAGTTGAAGGACATACTCGTCTTTTTCTTCTTGTCATTGTTGATCCAAAGAGACCAACGTCAATGAGCGATGTGAAAGGTACATTTGGTAAACTTGCTTATGAAAAAGGTGTTCGTCAAATTGTTGATCTCTCTTCATTTACTGTTCGTTCAGCGGGTAAGCAAGGTATAATTGGCTATTTACATACAACAAGTGAAGAAAAATTATGGACACTTGCTGATGAAAAATCAGATACACGTTCACTTGTTGTTTTACGTCCAGGTGCATTTATGAGTAATCAATTTATATACGATGTTCAACCTGTTAAACATTTAAATAAACTTATATCATCTGAATCTCTTTCAGCGTTAACTACATGGATTGATACAAAAGGTGAGTAAGAAAAGAAACAAATTACTAACAATAGTTCTTAGTATTCTAGTGTATATATATACATTTGTAATTTATTATAGATATTTCCGATTGTGCTGTCGTCGTTTTAACTGAACCTATTGAGAAACATGATCGTTGTGTTTACGAAATGGGTGGTGAATCTGTCTCCAATGAACAACGAGCAACTATTTTTAGTAAAGTTCTTGGTAAAGCTATTACTTATGAACAACAATCAGTAGAAACTCTGTATAAAATGTTAATTAGTCATGGAGCATCTCATGCATTTGCTTACGATATAGTTTCACTTACTTCTGAAAATATTGTTGCAAATCCAACACCACAATTATCTATTCTGATCAACAGACCATTACATACACTTGAAGAATGGTTACAAGAAAATGTTAAAGCATTTCAATAAACGATCTTTTTGCACATGTGATAATTTTTTACAAAACTTTGATATACGATACTATAGTGCCTTTTTATTACTATTTATGTTTTTTCTAAAATATATTCTACAAATTTTATTGTATACTTTGTATCGGTTCACTGGAAGTATAGATGATGAACTGTGAGTAAGAAATGAACAAAACTCGTTCCCTTATATTCTTAAGATATAGATAATAATACAGATTAATGTCTATTAAATTTCTTCAGTTACGTCAATATCCAATAAGAAAATACTTTTTAAACATTATAGCTGTCTAACATCTAAAAGAAAATATCGATGATATATGGTAACAACAATATTTTAAATCAAACAATATATGATCAAATTTTGATTTAATCTTTTTTTTCTAGAAGCCAGATTTATAGAAGAATGACATCTTAGCTTTTTTCATTATCTTAAGTTTTTTAATACTAGTATAAAAATACTCTTATGTAAATTATTTGTTGGACTTACAGTAAATACTTTGAGTTAGTGAATATAAACAAACAAACATGTCGGACTAATAAATGACTTTTCAATATGTATTCCATTCTCAAAGCTGCTGAACGACATTATGAAACGAAGTTTTTTACATTAAATGATAGGTCGCTCACGGGTGTGGGTGTATCATATCTTTCGTACCCACACCTGATAATTAGAATGTATATTGAAGAAAAATGATGAATATAGTAGTACAAATAATCATTCAAACTAAAAAGATTTATCAAATGTATGTTTATTTCAAAGTCATCTCAGTAGTATCATTCAGACAGCAGCGACATCTAAAGTGAATCCTCCAGCATTCCCAACTGTAGAAACATGATAGAGATCAAATTCAACAGTATAATTTGTACCAGATACGACTGAGAACGACTGCGAAATTGAACCACCCTGAGTTGAGATGATATAACATGCAACAGAAGTGATGGCATTACATGTAGAATTAACTTGTCCGAAATCTGGACATTTAACCCAATTTGTTGGTGTTGATCCAGATGACGCAGAAAAATCTCCATTGTTTAGTAGCTGAACATTACTAGCATCATATACTTTGATATTGGTTAAGTACATTATCGCATTTCTGATATTGATGAAGGAAAATACGAGTGTACTTATGCCAGTATATGATGTGAAAAAGCTGTCTGCAAATGTATGCCAATTGTTTTTTGGGCAGTCGGAGATTGTATATGACTTTAAAGTTGAAGTGATAGTAGACGTGCAGTTAAATGCTAAGATACATTATAAAAATAACAATATGTTTATTTCAAAAACACATGAAAAACAGTGCTCACCTGTTGTTGTTGTCGATGTCGTCGTAGCTGTTGTTGTAGCTGAAAGCAATGACAAAACAAAAAAATAATAAGTGGTATCATAAGAAAATATAAGCTGCATCTGTAAAAAGCAAATCTTTCGCAATTGAAATATGTATTCCGATAAGACCGTCCAACGACACGATATATTCTCTCACGTTCTCATTTGTTTTTCAAAAACACACCTTCTATCAAAATAGAAAGGATGAGCCGCGGTTTCACTATTTTGAATTTCACGAGATTCCTTTCGAACTTCATTTGTATATCAATCAGAGTATCCTCCTGAGTCTTTCTGTTAGGTCAAAACATTAAATTCTGGCTTTCGAATTTGAGTGTGGATGTGATATGGGATGAGTATATACTCACACCCACACCCTCAACTAGTTCTCGAATGTAAAATATAGGGGAATTAACTAGAATAAACAGTCAATTATAGTCTAAAGAAATATTAGATGAATTCTTATCATACTTGATGCTAATGAAGATGATGAAGGTAATGTTGTTGCGGATGGTGTGTTGGTTGAAGCAGAAATTGAGGCTGATGCTAATGGCGTATTGGATGAAGCAGAAATTGAAGTTGATGCAAATAAGCTATTTGATGCACTAGGGGATGATGTTGTTACAACTAGAAATATGGATTGAACATATATAAAAAACTGAAAACAATTTCTCTATATGTACGTTCTATGTTGAAAATGTAAATATGAGCATTCTAATTGTCATCCAATCACTTTAATACTTAGATTCAGACAAATATCAGATAACATTCTGAGTATTCTATTTTACTAAAATTCTCTGCACAAATCTAAAGTTTTGAATAGAAATAACCGTATTTATATATAAAAATCAAATGAGATCACCGATGAACTATTCTTTCGAAAAACTACTATTCACAATGGCAATAGGAGAACGATATATGTAATACTTTCAACTGGAAACTAACTTATACTAGTTGCTTGTCTAATTATTGATGATCTTTTAATTAATTAACAAAGTCAATAGTTATCATTTATGTCTTGTCATAGGTTGCTAGTGAACTAAAAACTGTGCTCAGTTATCTTTTTATTCCGTTTGATGAATGGAAAGATAAAATAATCAAGACGAAAATAATAATTTTAATTATTACATACTTAATGTTTCGGTTCCTGCTGTTTTTGATGTCAACCAGAATGTGAGTATAATAGCTAAACCTATTCTAGCGATTAATGATCCAACAATACAGTATTTAAAACAATAACACCAGGTAGAGGACGTCTTATTTTGATTAATTCTGTCATTAGAATATAAGGTATATAAACATCTTGGAATCGATATTGTACTTACCGATCATTATCATCTTCTGTCCAGACAGTGCGTTCGATCGATGAATGACTTCCATGTGTGGTCAATGCTGGAGCTGATGACCAGTCGGAGTATTGTCGATTCGTCATTATATATAATGCTAGTGGATTGGTAGCTGATTTTGATCTAAATTGAATAAAGCAACCTATATATATGTTTTTTATAATAAAAATAATCAATAATGAGCCCATTTCAACGGCTTCAAACATGTAATGTAAATTTCATATTTTGAGTAAACACAATTCATCATTTTAATCAAAAGCTTGGCCTCGAAAGTAGAAAAAGAAGTGTAATAGAATGCGTGTTCGATTGAAGAATGCATTGTGTATTAGAGATGAATGAACTGGGTGTCATAATTAGAAGGCAAGCGAAGACGAGATGATTTTGCTCTATCAATTAAACTCACAAGTCGATAATCGACCTCAGTTCGGAATTCTTGACAAGTTTAACTTTTGAAATTTTATTAAATATACATTATTGATAGTTATAAATAAATCGATTACGACTTTAACATTTGTATACAAGTAGTAATTTTAAAAATAAACATATTCTGTTAAAATTGGATGTTATTAAATATTGATTCGATTCAGCTCTAGACCCCAGGAGTTTACCTCCTGTCGCAAATTATAAATATTTTTAAACCTCATGTATACCAGCGATGAGCACAGGACATACCGTACGTCCTGCTGTCCTATCCTGATCTGCCCTGCACGATGAGTGGGTCGGAGCGGGATAGATGTGAGTATAACACTAGCTTTACTCAGACACCCACGTCCATCCTCCATTTGTCTATGCCTTGTAAAATCAGTCGAATCTTGATGTTTGATTTCAATTCAGAATAAATCTGTATAAAAACAAATTACGATTAAGCTTTTACTATGAGTATCACTTATATTGAAGAAGAGGAAAAAGTAAAAGAAAAGAACGGTATTAATGTTTTTTCTCGATCCTATTAGGCAATGGTGTGACAAATATATATCACTCTTTTAGAATACTGTGTGAAGGAACGCCATCTATTATCAAGGTTATTTTAATCATTTTTGCTTTTTT